CATAACTCCTCCCTACCTGCCTGCTGAGGAGCATCTACCTGGTGCCTCTTAGACCAAACTGCCTTATAAAGTGGCCTCAACAGGGAGTAATGGTCTTCATTTGCCAAAGTTAACAGGGTGACCATACCTGTCACAAATGTCCAAGTGCCCACACTGCTCTCCCTAGCTGAAACAACTATCTATGACTCCCCTCCACCTTCTCCCATTTTCTCTTCCAGCTTCATGCAAATGTGTCATTAGCCAACAAAGCTTACTACCATACTTGGTGGCTCTAGTTAGCGTAACTGTAAAGGAAGGGAGGATGCAATGAGTTTCCACATCATGCCTTGCAAAATGCTTTTCCACACATGCACACTGGACTCTCAAATGATACCCGCTCCAAAGACGAGCAGGATTTATATTTTCTAATTTGCCCCAAAGAAAGAAAACTAGACAAGCATAAGTGCATCACTTGGTATAGTAATCCAAATTCATTATTCCACTTCCAAAAGCCCAATTTTAAAAATACCAACTTAATATTTCACATTCCTGGGTGTGTCCAAGGCTAAATGAAGTGGTTTCAAGAAAAACCATAAAAAGATCAAATGATGGCATTTAATAACCAGATTTTCTCTTTCAGCATTAGTGAACAGGGAAGGGCTGGTTGGTGTAAGAATCCACCAGTCACTGTTCCCAAGAACTCCAGTGCAATGCAGAACATGATTCCATCCCAAGGCCAGGGTTGTGGAAACTATGACTGACAGTCCTGACATAGACATGGGCTTTTGGAGAAGTTCACCGAAAGGTGTTCATGACAACACAAATCAAAAACAGTCTACTGCATGTGCCAGTCCAGCTGCCCTAGACTACAGCTCCTTCCGTGGTTTGCTTTGTTACTCTTGTTCCACATTTAAAAACTATTCACATATACAGCAGTCTTGGCTGTATTTCCTGACTCTAGTCATTGACTAAATAATTGTTCAGTGGCTATTTTCTAAAAATCATTTGTCAGTGTTTGTTTCTTTAATTGTTTTATTTTATCTTATGTGTATGGGGTGTTTTTCCTACCTGTATGTCTATGCATCATATGCATGCCTAACACCTGAGGAGGCCATCCATAGAGGGCAAGGCCTTGTGCTGCTTCAGTTTGAATTCTGGAAGATCATAATGATTAGCAAGAAAGTTCATTCCTCCTGAAAGCCAACTTCCTGCTATACCTAATCTTTCCTCTCTTTCTCTCTCCTGCCCATGCCTGCCCCCTCTCTCCTAGGCTCTGTCTGTGACACCTGTGCAACCTATCAAGAAATGGGACTGCCAACAGACTATGGATATGATACTCAATAAGATTAAGCAGGGGAAATTCCAAAACCCCATGTCCATTGCTCAAATTCTCCCCTCCTTGAAAGGCAAGACTTACCTAGATGTGCCCCAAGTAAATTGTGGTCCTGGTAAGAACTTTTCAATGGCTTCCCCTTTTATAACATAAATTACTACTTAAAGTACAATGGCATGTGGCTTGATGTTGAGTGGAATATTAGATTGTTTTGTCAATTCATCCCAGATAGGTAGAGCTATGATCTCCAATCCCCAAGCATGTGTACTAGCCCATAGCCAAAGGGCCTAGCTTAAGAATTCAGTTCCTTATACGAACACCAACTTTAACAAGGTAGATGGCCTGTGGTCACAACAAGGAGCTTCATTCATTTGAAAAATGTACTGCCAAACATCACACATGTCTCATCTGCTCTTTACAAAGTCAAAAGAGAGACATGCAGATGAAACTACAGACTTTACAGTAATGAAATCAGTATTAAATAGAAATCAACATCACCTACATCACAAAGGCAAAAAGAAGAAGAGAAGGAAGAAGGAGAGGAGGAGATGAATAACCAATTGTTGATTTTATTTGAAGGGCTGAAAAGGAACAAATGAAATTCACTCAAGCCTTAAGGATGTAATAATGACAGCCTGACACTCACAGAACACCAACAGGATGAGGTAGAAGCATAACATGTTACTTTGTAGCATTTTGTATCCAATCAAATACAATACTGAAATATTTAAAATTCCTATTGCCCATAAAGAGCCTTCCTAAAACTTTTGTCACTCCAGAAAAAGTCTCTGAAATCAACTCCTTCAATTCTTTTTATTCTTATCAAATACTTCCGCTTGCATCCACTAGCTAGTTTCATATGACAAGAAGAAACTATAAGCTCCTCATAGACTTCAGTGCCGAATCTACAGGAGCCAAACTCAAGCAAACCCACTGCCACTGTGTGAAACACCTTAGCCTGACTCCCTGTGCTGCTGCCCAGTGACAGCACAAGTCTAACACGGAGTCCTTGTTAGACAACTTCTGGATAGTTGTCCCAGTATTTTGTTGAATAGCCTAAAGATTACTATTTTCTTGAAATCTTTTCTGAGATAAGTTCCCAATAACATTGACTTTTGCATCCCTCACTCAAACACCAAAATCTTTAATAAACTTGGCCTTTTTGCCCTCACAGATCATGAAGTGCCACCAACTCCAGCTGACTATCCTACTCCCGTCCCCCCCTCAGTGTCTAACATTACCGTCATATACACCATAAACAACCAGCTGACAGAGGCTGATCAGCTCTTCAATGAGACTATTGAGGTTAGTGTGAGGAATGGATCTGTGCTATTTGCTGTCCTAGAAGAAGCACAGCGCAAAAACTCCATGTTCAAGTGAGTAGTGCAAGTGATGTTGTCATCCCCCCAAAGCCATACTCAAACTCCTCCATATTCTCCCTCTCTCTCTCTCTCTCTCTCTCTCTCTCTCTCTCTCTCTCTCTCTCTCTCGCCTCTGTACTCTCTCTTTTCCTGTCTTCATCTCTCCCTCTCTCTATCCCTCCCTCCCCTCCCTATCTCAATAAGATCACATAACATGTAACTAATAGAGTTCAGAGCTAAGCATGTATTTGATTGTCTTCAAAATTCATGTTTCTACCCACTGTCCTGTTAGGAAAGAGTAGAATATGGAAATGTATCAGAGGGGAGAATTAAATGTTGGGAAATGTTAACCATTTGCAAAAAGAGGAAGTAATAGAGGAAGATACGAAGGTCACAGTTTAGTATCAAGGAACCATGCCAATTCATGTAAAACAGAAGAGGACACTTGAGGACCAAACTCTCTGGATACAATCTACAAGTTTAGCATTTAATATTGCCTCATTTTTCTTCTGTCTGTAAATATAAAAATGACATATGATACATACATAATAGAAACTTGGAGAGAGAGAAAAAAACACAAAGAATAAATTGCCTCCACAACCACAAAATAATCAGTTACTTAATAATCTGATAGAAGAATCCATCCCTGGTGCATGAGCAGGCTTTTTGGAGACCACTACCTCTGATGGGACAACTTGTGCAGTCTTGAGGCAAAGGAAGGGCTTGGACTTGCCTCTAGTGGTTGTGCCTCCCCATGAGAGGACTTGCCTTCTTGTGGGGCGAGTGGGGGGTGGGTTGAGAAGGGAATGTTGGGGGGTGGGAGAAGGGAAGAGGGGGATCTTTGATTAGTGTGTAAAATGAATGAAAAATTTTTAATTAAAAAAAGAAAGAAAATAATCTGATAGATTTTTCTATGCATAGTACAAACAATTGTGATTCTTTATATATATGGGCTAGCATACATTTCTCTAAAATTTGAGTTCTTTATTTTTTTAAAAGTATTTTATTTTTAATTACATAAGGAATGCATATGCACATGTGAGTGCAGGTACCTACGGAGGCCAAAGGCACCAGACACCATGCTTTTTTGAAGTCAGTCCTCTGAGAATTTGGACATCGCCAAAGTTGATCAATAATAGAACACATCCCCAAACGATCCTCATGCACACTGTCCTCTATGATGGCTACTCCTTTTATTGCCATGTAATAGTCTATAAGGGAGAACCTTGGGCACTAACTGAGCCATGGAGATGTATGTAAGAGTAGAAATGTTTTATTGTACATATATGAAGGGACTCATTAGTCTGGAGTGCTCACCAAACCAAACAGAAATTAACCCATGGAATCTGGCAAACATATACTGTGCAAACTAAACTGTTTGTTCTAAATAACATATCCATAAAACATGACTATCTAAATATGGAAATACCTATCAACCTACTCAAGTGAAAATATAAAGAAAGACCCCTTTATCTATTAATTGAAATTCCATTTTAAGTGGCATGATTATATACTCATTACTCATTTGCATTTTCTCTTTTGAACATTATTTGCATCTGCTCTTTAAAGCATTTGAACATCTGTCCTCCATCTTGCCTCCTGTTGTCTGACTTCAACTAAGGTGGTAACTATTTACATTTTTTTCTTAGATTTGAAACCAGAATGACATCTTGGGGCCATTTTGTTACTTCTATCAACAATATTGCTGGAAATGTTAATCACAGGACATACTGGGAGTTCCTTAGTAGCAAAATGCCTTTGGATGAAGGTAAGGAAAGCAAAGGAATATGTTTTTCTTCCACTTGGAAGGCTACATTTATGAATTCTTTAATTAATGTACTTGATAAATATGATGCTGTACGTGCTTATGATAAGGATATACATAGGAACTGAGTGTCATATGTAGTCATTACATAAATACTCTGCAATTATTAGTGACTCTTTTTACAGGAAGGTAACTAAATCCATGAAATGTGATGTGAATTATATACATTGGTGATGAACTCCAAGTAACCAATAATGCATAAGTGTAGCATTAAGTAAAGAAATAAAAGCACATCCCCCTTGGGGTCACTTTATCAAGAGTGAGTCCAGATTTGAATTCTCTATTTCATTAAACCTGTGTCTTCCATCCTCTGTCTTTCTGTTGCATGAGTGTGAATCTGTGCCTGCCTGAAGAAGACTGTCTTGTCAGTCTGTGGCCTGTGTGTGCTGTGTGCACCTGTCATGTGTCTCTGTCTGTGTGTCTGTGCCTCCCAAAGGACTTAGCTCTGTGTCTATTGAACAGCACAGAGAGTATCACATGAGGAAAGAATGGGATACTTTATAGAAATCTTTAACAGTAACACAAATATCACCAATGTTTACAAACCAATTTCCATAAATGGATGCTTTCAAACTTTACAGTAGATTTTAGGAAGTTGCTTTCAACTTCTGTATTTGCTGCTTTCAGCAAATGATACACATGCATTGTTCTGGGTAAGAGGCATGGAAGAATATATAACTTAAGAACTTAATATTACATCTATGCATTATCTTAGGTTGTAAAAGTTGATTACATGAGAAATTCAAGGCAAGTATGTTGATTCTTATACTGTTCTCAGAAAGGCAGGTTAAGTAAACAGGCTGAGTACTCAGTAAGGTAACAGTCTTAAATATTAAGTGACCTCAAGTTATATTATTAACCCTACCAGTGAGGTCCAACAAAAAAAAATTCCAGTCTCTTAGAATGCAAGAGGTTTTCATAATATCACATCATCACGAGATGTCAAAGTGACCTGTATGAAACACAAGCCTAGAATTTAACAGAACATACAACCAAGTCCAGGTTCCCAAACTCTAGGACAAGTGAGCTTTCTAACATAGCTTCATCAAAAATTCAGCCCTCACCATCTGTTTAGTCTCTCACAGAAGGAATGTTGTGATGGTATTTATGTGGTAAATATAGCTAATATAGTGAAACTCAGATTCCAGCAAAACCTCAATTTTTCTGAATGTTTTGCATAAATGCTGAAACATCTTCCCACTTAAAGAGCACTGAGGCATGCTTTTGTCTAAGCTTCAGGTTGACCTGACATTGATTGTTACCATGAGGAAGACTGTAAACCAGAGTCACAGGAGGCCAATGCTGTATCCTGCAGGCTCCATCCTCCAGTTTCACCATGGGAGAGATGTTTTGCTTGTCATCTACCATATAGTTAGGAAAAACTGGCCAGTCAGAATTCATGAGCCACAGCAACAGGCTTTGTAGAAAGCTCTTCTCATAGTCATAATCTACATTAGACAAATAAGGAATCCGTCTCTATAGCTATAAAATGGAAATACCACTCCCTGGGTTGTTGTAAGGATTAGAAAAACTGTTTACAAATATTAACTACAATATCTTTTGCAGATTACGTGTTCAAAACACTGTTATTATTGTCATTTCTCCCACCACCTTGATCTCAAGAAATCATTCTGAAATTTTAAAGGGATTATTCCCCTTGTCTGCCAATTACTTCCCTTCTCTGGGAACAAGGACAGTAAAAGTAAAGATATCAGATTCAAAAATATTTGGGCATGAAATTGTCATACTTCCTGTTGCCTGAACACCTAAAAGATAAAAGATATCAACATCATCTATCCTTCTTATCCTGGAAGATTCTCAGCCTACTGCCCCTCCTATTTCTTACAAAATCTTCCAAAAATAAGTGAAATTCTCCCTTAAATACTTTAATTTGAGCTATTTATTGTATGATTCCTATGTGGCAGATATTGTTTCTGATATTAAACACAACATTTCAGAGAAAATATTTAACAAAATTTTCTACATAAGAGAAAAGAGACTGGCACATCTTAAGGGGTTCCCCCAAAGACATGATCCATAAAATGGCAACCTAAATGCTAAAAAAGAGAAATATATAGATATTTGTAAAGCAATATAAAAAAAGCAAATACAAGAGGAAAATAAAGTATCTTTACCAAAAAGAAGAGGAGGAGGGGGGAGGGAGGGACAGAGGGGGAAGCCACCCCACCCGTCCTAGGGACTGGAGAGATGGCTTCACAGTTAAAAGCACCTGCTGCTCTTGCAGAGGACCCAGCACCCATATCAGATGACTCACAACAGCCTGTAATCACAGTTCCTCTTCTGGCTTCCACCAGCACCTTCACACATGTGGTACACACACACACACACACACACACACACACACACACACACACACACAACTAATAAATCTTTTTAAAAGAAAGAAATCCCTAAACAGGGCTAGCAAGAGCTGGTAAAGACATTTGACACCAGACCTGAGTTGGATTCCTGAGACCCACATGATGAAAAGAGAGAATCAACTCTGACCTTCACATGCATGCACCTACACACATACACACAAACAAGTAACAATAATAAAAATATTTTAAAGAAATCCTTAAACATCCCAAATTCATATTTCTGACCACTTCTCCCCATGGCAATCTAACAAGCTTAATGGGCTGATGTTTTAGTGTGGGACGTTTACGTGCCCCATGGACATTTGTTATCCTTTGCCTCTTTCCAGGGGTCGATTATTATGTTCCCTCCAACTATGAGCACATCACAGCCAACTTCACCCGATACTGAGGAGGATCTTCTGCTGCATGTGACCAAAGGATGAGGTTTTTTTTTTCCATTTCATTATAAATCTGTGCCAAGAAAAGTTGATGTTAACAATGCTACTCCATTCCTGATTTAAAAAACAAAACAAAAAAACAAAGAGCCAATATGTGGTTCTTTCTCTCCATTGTGACTTATGAAATAAAATTTCTGGCTTCTCAAAACTGACTATCAGTTGTCATTTACACCTATGACAAGGCAGAAGTAAAGCCCCAGTGATTTGGGAAGATCAATGCAATCTTCTGGATTAAACAACACACTCTCTGTCTCTGGCTATCAGATATTTTCTTATCCCTCTCTCCTCCTCCTAAGAAGGATAGAAAGGGGAAAGGTAGGAACTGGACTCCCACAGTCTCCCATAGATGGTGCCAGAATGTGAGGCTTAGGTACAAAAGGATATGAGAGT